ATTAATTTTAATCAAATTTTATATAGTAAAATTTAAGAAATAATAATTGAAAAAAGTTATTAGTAAAAATTTTTTTATAAAAGATATATAATAAAAATTTTATATTTAAATAAATCTTAATATCTAATAACTTAATTAGATGAAACAGAATTAAAAAATTTTATTTTGAAAAAATAATTTATTAATATTTATCTAATATATCAAATTTTTCATAATGAATCATATTATAAAATATTACTTATTATATCTTATGCTTATATTTTAATATATATACTTTATATATATCTTAATTTAGTTTAATTTGAATTATAATAAATATAAATAATAAATAATTTAAAGAATTCATAAAAAGTATAACTAAACTTATTAATAATATTAAAAATAATAATTTTTTTAATTTCAAGTCTTCATCTTATCTTTTTATTAAACTATTTTATATTATACTTTTAAAGAATATAATTTAGATAATGAATTTAATAGATATATTATTATTTACTATTATTATATTAAATAATGAAGAAAAATATGAAGTTAACTATATTCTTAATAAAAGAATTTATAATTACAAACTTTAATATCTTGTCAAATAACTAGATTATTCTTTTTATAATATCATTTGAAAATTTCTTGAAAACTTGAAAAATATTATAAAGAAGATAAATATCTTTGAAAATTATATACTTAAATAGAATGAAAATTTATATTTAAGTAAAAAAGTATATAATAATATTGATTAATTATATTTTTTAACTTAAATCTTTATTTATATTATAATTTTATATTACTTATTTTGATCAATTTCACTCTGAATATACAAATAATTATTATATATTAAATTAATTTGATTTAATATATTGTCATATAGATAATCACTATGTATTTTCTAATTATTAATTTAGCTAATTAATAATTTAATTAGATTTTTTTTTAATTATTTCTTTTATATTTTTATTCATTCTTATTTATTATTATTTATATTATTTATCATTATTAATTTATTGAATTATGATTTATTATTTTCTAAAGATATAAATTATATCAATTAATTATATTTAACTTATAGATTAATAATTTATTTATATTTCATATTCATTTTATTCTATATAAACAAGTTACTTTTGTTTTGTATTTTAATTTTTAATTTAAATATTATTCAAATAATAAAATCATAAATATTTATAAATTAAAATTATTTACTTTGCATTTTATCTTATTTAAAAATAAATAATCTTACAGTATATTTAATAAGATTATATTTTTTATGTATTTTTAGTATATTTTATAAGGTTTCTGATATATTTGTAGTTTTTATCTATATTTTGATCATTATATATTTATTTTATTTTATTTTATTTTAAGTAAACCATTTTTGAGTTTCTTATGATTTTTAACCTATATTTCATATATATTTATAATTTTATATCTATTTTATTTATTATATATATAGCTTATTAATTTTTACATATTTCAAATAGAAAATTTTCAAGTTTCTTATACATTTCTAATATATATAAGCTAGACTAAAATATTTAGACAAGATATATAATACAACTAATAATTTAAATTTTATAATTATATTCTAAAAGCTTAAAATTTGAAAATTCTGATAAAATATATCTTTTTTATAAAAATTTGTTTATTAAAAATTCTATATTCTTATTTAAATTAAATTGATTACTTTTGTATAACTAAATCTAACTGATATTTTTAAGAAAATTTATATATTAACTTTAAATAAAATTTATATAATTAGAATCAGCAAATCCTGCTCTATTTAATAATATATTTATATATTTCAGATTATTTTTCATTAATAAGTGATATATTAATTTGTTCATATGTATATATTACATAAATATTTGATATTTCAGATTTATTAAAATGTGATATTGAGCGGTTTGACGTGTTTTTATTATATTACCAACTATGAATTTATGTTTTTTAATATTTTACTGATTTCACTTATTGTTTTCTATAGATCAATAATCTCATATGTTCAAAATCTGTAAGTTATGATCTTTTAGGCATTATTCAAAAATGATTCTTTTGAAAAGAGCAAAAAAAAATATTTTCTGAAATTAGAAATCAAAAGATGAATCTAATAAAAAAAAGATCAAAGAATTTGGATTACTATTTTTAATTAAATCTCACAAATAAAATATAAAAAATTTTATTTCTAAAACTAGAAAATTAGGCGTATTCAATAACTTTTGGTGGACTAATCGTAAGTACAAATTTGGAACAAATATTATTACTTTTAAATTTTTTAATTAATTTATATATAATGAACAGCCATACTCAAATAATTGGAATAATGGAACTTTCATAAATACCTTTTATAAAATTGATGTAACTTCTTATCCAGTTTCAATTTCGACTGTTATATCCACAGGCACTACACCAAGTGTACGTTGTTCTGTTAGTTCGATTTTTGATGACACAGGAAAACTTTATATCTGGGGTGGAGTAGCCTATGTAGTAGATCAAGCCATGTATATATTTGACACATTTACGTCAACATGGAGCAGAATTCTTCCTTCTTATGTCCCTGTGCAAAGATGGGGATATTCAGTGACTTTAAAGGATGGTAAAATTTATTATATTGGCGGTGTTATTGAAGGACTCCCCAACATAAAATCTGCCGATATTCGCGAGGTATTAGGCATGCATTTTGTATATTCAGAGTCATTTAAATTTTGCTCTTTTTATTAAAATAAAATACATTATAAATTTTCTTTAAAGATTTTGATATATGATACTCTTAATGCTGATAATAATCCATGGACTATAAAGGTAACGAGTAAATTAAATCTATAATTAGTGTAGTAAAATTAGCGTTAATCATTTTGTTTAAAATGAAAGAATGCGACATATAATTCAAACATAAATGATCGTTATCGCCACTCCGCAGTTCTTGGTAAGGTTTTAGTAGCAAATGGCTTATTTATTCCATTGAGTTACTAAATAAATCAAAACTGTGCATAGCGCCCAATAATCAAAGCATCATCCTATATGGAGGTTCGATGTCAAATGCTTCAGGAGTTCCGCCTGATTATTTGATTACTTTAGACTTGCAAACATTTGAAATTTCAGAGCTGGTAACTAAAAACGGGCCTAATATTGTTGATGTGCCTGCTTATTTTACCTCCGTTATATATAATAATTATATGATCGCATACCTGGGTAATTATTTTTATTAAATCCTGTATCAACCGATTTAGTTTAAAATTAATTAACGCGTAACGAAATAATTTTTAGGATATTTTAAAACTGCAAATCCTTATAGACAAGCTATCAAAATCTTGGATTTATCGCAGACAACATATACATGGGTTGATAAATTTATCGCAACTCCAAGCACATCATCAAGTTCGCCCGCACGAAGCACATCAACAAGTTCACCTGTACCATTGCCTGATGATAGTAATAACAATAAAAAAACGATAGTCATTGTTTCCACGGTTGGATCAATTGTTGTGGTTTTACTCGCGAGTTTCATAGTCTTCATATTATGCAATCGAAAAAGAAAACAAAAACAAGCAACAAATACTGCTAGCAACACTGGACTGCCTGTTCAAGTCAATCCAGCAATGCATAACAACTCGAATAATCAAAATACAATATCGCAGGTTCCGTTCAATCAAAATCAATTTAATAATGATACTTTAACAAGTAACTTTGCTCAAAATAACTTTACAGACCATCGTGCTTCTTTAGCTTTTAAGCCTGATTCATAGCATCCTATTATTTAATGTTGATTTTTACGTTTATTTTCATTAAATATTTCACAGAATTTTCAAGCAGCTTTCCAAAAACTATTAAACTTTATGTACTTGAATATTTATCATGATTTTTATGAATAAGTTATTTAAATAAATTATATATCGAAATATGTATTTTAGCTATTCAGTTTACGAATGTGCCTTCACATTTGAAAATCTATAATAATTAAGATTTTGTGTATTATATATAATTTCGTATTTTGCTTGAAATAACTTTTATATTTGTTATCTCTGGCAAATATAATACCATTTCCATTAATTGAATTTTTTTCGTTTGATAAATAAATACAGTTAGCCCTCGTTTATATGACCCCCTATAATATGCAAATCCTATTAATATGACCAAACAACAAAAGCCAGATCATGAAGGCTTTTTTTTGCCCAGACATTTATAACATTTCGTTATTATAAAATATAACAAAGATTCGAAATAGCAATAGGTTGTTATAAAAAAGAGTTGAATATCAGAAAATCGCGGCGTCGTAAATAATTTAAACCTCAAATTAATCCAACTTTTTTTTAATAGAACAAATATTTATTTCACAAATAAATATATTTAAATTCACAGTGTGATTTCTTAAAAACTTTAGTTACTAATTTACTAGCCTTGAGTTTAGATTTTTACGGGAAGGGATACTATAGACCGCGATACATGTATATACCGATTAATTAGTTATGCAACGTGATATTAAATTGTTTAATGAATGGTCATCTTAATATAGTACATGTACTGTACATTATGATCATTACATGTATTTAGTATATGCACATTGCACAAGTATAACGTGTATTATGACACCATTAAAAAATCCGGAACCGATAGTGTCATATTAACTGGGTTTAACTGTACACTCGCTAGGTTGATTAGCTTGGTATTAAACCCTAATTTCAACTAAGAGAAGTAAATGTATTCTATTTAAAGATATTATTTTCTTATACATGTATTAGTATACAGTGTTGTGCTTAATTATTGTATTAAAAATTAAAGCTCGTGTAGTAATGCTTTTATTTTATAAATTTCACGTCCACAGTAAAAATTTTGCTTCAAAATGTCTCCATCTAAGCACAAATGATGTTGCATTTTTGGGAGCAGAGAGTACGCAAAGCAGCCAAAATATATTCTTGACGAAGATATTATTGAGGACAATTTATAACAATCTTCAAAAACTTAAAAAAAAATGGAAAAATAAACTTCAAAAAAAGGAAATGGTCGGCATCAAAAAATAACACCATCGCTTCTCATGCAATTGGTCAATTTATTCGAAGAGATTCTTTAATTTCTGCAAGTTCAATTGCCAATAAATTAATAGAGATGGGAATAGAGGTTTCGTTCAGCGTTTTAAGACATCTGACCACATGAGGATATAAAAATATGCTTCCTCTTGCTACACCAATGCTCACTCATATTCAAAAAGCAATTGTTTAATCATCACCTAGATGATGATTGGAATCAGACCATTTTACTGACGAGACTGCTTCTGCAACACAATCAAACATTGGTATAAAGGTGAGATGCCGAAGGATCGTTGTAAAGTTCTTGCATGAAGTGGATTTAGCATGAAAGAAAAACAAGTCTCTTCTGTTTTGAACAAATAATGGATGAAAATTTTATGTTAAAAATATTAAAAGATCATATACAGTACCAGAAATGAGAAGAATGTTTGGAAGTAGGTGGCAGTTACAACAGGATAATGATCCTAAATATACCAATCGTGTTGCTATCAAAAATAATGTATTGATTGGTCTTCTAACAGTCACGATTTAAAAATTTGTGGAATATTGCCAAAAGAAATGTAGATATTGAATCTTCTGATCACATGACGACAAACCAATAAGAATGCGTAATCTTATATGTGCCGGCAATTATTAAAGGTTTTTTCAAAAGTTAAGAAATAAAACAAAAATTAAATATAAAATTGGTTTCCCAATATTTTTTATTAGAGCTTCAAGCCAGATTTCGATTCCTTTTTCTGTATTTTTTATTTTTCGTTTTCTTTTTCGGATTTGTTTTTTGTCAGACTGATTAAAAATTTGCACATTCTTAGAAAAGCGAGAACCCAAAAAAATTGGGAGGAATTAAAACAATTTATGGTTGAAGAATGGAATGGGATATTCCAAATTCTTGCCTAATTAGGGGGTTCGTTAAAGGAAGGCAAGCCGTTTAGCCTGTTTAGCTGCATACTCGCCACACATTTGATCTGCACCACATGATTTGGGGTAAACCAATCGATGTGTAACGGTAAAGAAAAAATTCAAATACATGTAGCGGTAGTGTTTCAGTTTTTTTAATTTAACAACACTCTTTAGTTTTTTCATCAGTTTTAGGATATTCTAACGAGCTGTAACACTGAAAATACACAACTGCGGCGTTAGTGTATGACTTTCCATTTAACAACTCTGGACTCATGTAAGGAAGTTACAAATTTTTCTCGGTCAGATTTTTTATTTTGTTGGAATACTATACGATACGCATTAATAAATAATACACTTCTAGGATGAAAGTTACGATGAACAATTTCTCTGTGTGAATTGTTAGATTAGAGATAATTGAATAATAACTTAATTTTAATCCCAAGTCAATTTTTCGTAGTTACAATTTACGAAAATTCAATTGCACATGTAGCTGGATTTTTCGTTAATGAATTTCTGAATCTATTTTCGAAAAATTTAATTGTTCAGAAAACAAAAAAGCTACTTTCACTTTGAAAATGTTCATTTTTACCTCGTGTATAAACTCTCAATAAATTTGTTTTGAATTGTGTAATGATTCAAGCACAACTTTCCTTCTTTTCGTCATTCAAATTCAATTTCTTTCATTGAATGTAATGACATTCTTTCAACCAGATTGCTTTATAAATTGACCCAAAACCTCCTTTTACAATCTATTCGAATAATTTTGCAAGATTTTATCTCTGCTAGACAATCATCGTTATAAATTCGTTTGTGATATTTTAAACATTTCCAGCAGTCCTCATTTCTTGACAACGAGCACATTTACTATAACCATATTGTGAATGAACACTTATCGAACTGAAATCTCATCGCAGTATTAGATATTTTTTGACAATATTTAATATTTGATTTTAACTTGAATTCACATTAAAAAATGCAAAACAAACGAGATAATTGTTGTCATTATACAGGTACGTTAATACATGTACATGATTTAACAACAAACATCAATGCTTCAATAAATCGAACACATGAAATGCATATATTCTCGAGTCCATACTCTGGATCTAATCTTAAACTATAATATAATCGAAATTCTAATTAATAACCATATCTTGCGATTTTGATTCAATATCCCGATGCCCAAAATACTGACTTATCAAAATCCTGAAATCAAATGCTCAAAATCCTGACACAAATCCTAACTTAAATCCTAACTTCTTAACATGCGAAAATATTAGTTACTCTGGATTTATGAATATCACCTAATAATAAAACTTTTGTCTTAGTCAACATATTCAACATCACAACATAACGATTATAAAGGGTATAAAGGGTAAATTTATATTATACCTTTATGCTTCTATTTATTTTTCGGAATGTTGGATATGTCAGAATTTTGGGAGTGTTAGGATTTGGCTGTTGAGATGTTGGAGATCGGAATTTTGGTTCGAATTAAATTACAATATATGAATATTAGTATTTCGATTATGGTATAATTTAGAGTTAGATTCAGAGTAGAGATTATAATGGATGCGATAGCATATGTAAAATTTCGCAAGGAATATTTTTTATTAAAATACATGAGATATATCATTTGTTTTGAATTTTTTCATTAACACATTATCTTGCAATATGATTGGTTTATCTCTTAAAAAGCCACGTTAAAGGCTAGGATATTGACTAGCTATTCTCAAATCATGTGATGCAGATCAAATATGTGACTAAACCGGCTAAACGGCTTGCCTTGCTTTAACGAACACCTGTTAAAAGCTAGGGTATTGATTGGCTATTTTCAAAATCATGTGGTGCAGATCAAATGTGTGACGGGGATGTGACTAGACCGGCTAAATGACTAACAACTTATCTTTACTTGATATCCATATCCAAAAAAGAAAATTTTTATCTCATATTCCATATATCTAGAGATGGGTAAATGCACTATGCATATAGTACGCATATGCACATAGTATATACACGCATAATAATCTACATGTACAGTGGCCTATCATAAATCACTGGACACTTGATGATGATCATCATCAATACAAATTTGTTGCCAACTTAAAACTGGCTGCAATTCGACATGGCATACTATCAACAAGATTTTTGTATTTACTTTCATCAATTTGCAGCTACTTATTCTGGAGTATTTGCCATAATTCTTCACAATTTTTGGATAATAGTTCATGTATTCAAACTCGTCTTTCTAATTCATCCCATAAATGTTCTATAGGATTCAAGTCAGAACTCTGGGTGGGTCACAGAATACTACTTATATTATTTTCTATCTTTTATTTTTTTAGTTTTGCTTGCTGTATAGACAGGTGCATAATCTTTCTAAAAAACATAATTCTTCTTATTATCTAGAGTATCTAGAAATGATAATAAATGATTTTTTAGTATATTTATATATACATTGACTGTTAGTCTTCACTCCAATCTAACTAATAGACCAAGACCATTTTTTGTGAAATAACCCCATATCATTACTTCTTTTTAACCTGATTTAAATGTTGGAATAAGATATCTAACATCATATTTTTTGTGAGATCATCTCCAAATATACTTCTTACCATCTTCTCTGAATAATTCAAATCTTTTTGGCTCAAGAAATTACTAATAAAAAAACTCAAGTATAATATATTATTATCTTCTTGATTGATATAGTTAAAGATAGCTCCTCAACTGTTGCAACATGGTGATAAATAAAATATCATCTAGTTGCAACTAGTTGTGACTTATAAAATTTTGAAGTTACAACATGTTGCAATAGGTAACAA